AGAAACAAAACTGGAGAATCAACCAGACCAAAAATCACACAAGGCGCACTATTCACACCCTTATAACATGGGAAAATGGAATCCTGCCAGTTTTCAGAGTTACAAATAAATGATGTTTCTAAAGTAAAATGAAAACAATGAAACCCGTCTACATTGATGGCTTAAGTGGGAAGGAAGGAAGGGACTTGGGTACCATGGGCTTCCAACAGAGAGGCAGCAGAATAAGGGATGGGCAGGCAGGACAGAGCGCGCAGGCATGTCCCAAGGCTGCTGGAATAAGGAATCTGGGCTCCAGGGACTCAGCGGGCCCTTCCTTCATGGCCGCTGCTACTGTGCAATGACCATTCAGGGCATTCCATGGTTTGGACTTATTTCCCCAAAACTGGTGCCATTTCTTCACCACCTGATCGTGCAGCTCCTTTCCTTTCAGGTCACAGAAAAGCCAGCTGCTTCCAACCTTTTATACTATGGAGACTCAATGGAGCATCTTTTTCTATTCCTTAATTCTACTGCAGCAGAAGAAACCTGTAAATTATAGCTGGCCACCACCTCAACAGTTCTGGACAACAGAGAAGGCAGTTCAGGACCAGAGTGGAACCTGCAACTGTTCTTGTAATCACAAACAAACCCCAGGCGCTTTGGTTCATACCAGCTAGCTAGGATGCAAGAGAAGGTCCAGCTTTCATGCAGTTTTTCTTGAAAATTCCCCAGCTTCAATTCCAGAGGCTGAATAAAGAGCCAGGGAAAGTCAGTGTCTCTTGGCAAATGGGAATTCTGGAGCTCCCCACTCCTCCCAGCGGGTAAGTCCTACCAGCGGGTAAGAGTTGCCTCCTCCGATTGCTAACAGCAGAGGAGCAAAAGATCATTCACTGGGATAACTGTGGCTATTAAACAGTACAAGAGTTGAATGGAATATTTTTATGTTTTCCTCAAAAAACCCTTCGCAAAAAGAATTGTGCTCAACTTTTCCAATCAACATGCCCGTGAATAGATCTGCCAAAAAAGAACCAAAGAAATACATACCTGGAATCTCCATCTGGATCTTCTACATTGTCACCAATACTGTTCACCGCATACCTACTTCTTGATGTTCCTAAAAAAATGGAGATATTACTCACTGTCCCATTCACACAGCACATTTTGCATGGTGATGCAGGGGAGAGATGCAGCATATTTTATGGGAATCCGAGCATCTTCCTCAGACAACTAACCCAGAGGCACGCTTTGTATAAACTACTGGTAACTATCTCAGTCAGCACATCACCTGGATCAAGCCTACCAGGTGATTAACTGCCCTTCGTAAACTGAGATAAAGTACTAGGCCAAGCAAAAATCTGTTTGTTTGTTTTTGGGGGAGGGGACAGAACTAGCAAAAGGGTAGATGAGGAAGTCGTCCCATATATTTTAAATTCCTTTCTCCTCACTGTAAGGAAAATATTCCAGGGGAATAATAGTCTGCCAAACTCGTGAAACATAAAGATTGTCTTTTCACATTAAGCACAAAAGAAGCATTCTAGTGATCAATTAAGCTCACCCTTTCTATTTTTTCAGTTAATCACCATTGTTTGTTTATTTATTTAATATTTATTTTATTTATTTATTCATTTTATATTGCTGCATATTCACCCATGGCAATTCAAGGCAGCTTACAGAATATAAAACCACATTTAAAACAATAAAAAGAATCAAATAAATTCATATAATAAAATCACAACACACACACCAGGCAACAGGACATCACACAAGCCATTGAATGGGCTCCATCCTGCTCTGGGATCCCCAGGCCAGCTGGCAGAACCAGGTCTTCAGCACCTTCCAGAAGAGTATTAGAGTGGGGACCGTTCCAACCTCTGAGGGAATGATGTTCCAGAGAGAGGGAGCCACCACGAAGAAGGCCCTTCTTCTCGGTCCCACCAGGTATATATATAGCAATAGCAATAGCAGTAGACTTATATACCGCTTCATAGGCCTTTCAGGCCTCTCTAAGCGGTTTAC